ATTTTCACTGGAGGAAACAGCTGTGGTGTGAGGAGGGGTGAACGCAGCGAAAACTTTACAGTAGATGGGAAACCGATTGCTCCCTCGGCCTTTTGTAAACTGTATTTATGACAAAGAACTGCACAGATACAGATAAACACTCACCTTGTGTCCTCTGTTTCTGTTCGAGTCCGCTCGCGCTGCGCCGCCGCGGTCTGTGGATTGAAGAGCGCGCTGCAAGACGGGGGGGAGGCAAAGTCTGCCGCCGTTTTCATATTAAATTTAAAGAGGACTGACTCTGAGGAGATCATGAATGTGTGTACATTTTATGGAGCTAATCGCTATAGCCCCGCTAAAAATGGCCTAGCGACGCCCATGCTTCTTACATCCATTTCAGAGAACCAGGACAAATATCTCAATCGATTGCTCAGGCATTTAAGTGGCACCGAAATGAGGCACCGAAATCTGCATTCTGATGCGGTTCTAGTACATACCGGTTACATAGGTATATTGGCACCGGGTTTCGTTACCCAACCCTACCCCCGGTCTAGACTCTAGCGGATATCCATCATCAGATCAGTGTAATTTTAGTAACATTTATATACTTTTATATTATTTATTAATATTTTGAATTGCTTTTATTTTTATATTTTTAGTTTATTTTCTTTTGTTCATTTTTAATACGCCTATATGGGTTTCATATTTTAATTGTTTTAGCTTCAATAATTTTAGTACTTTAAAAGAAAAACTAAATGAAAATGAGAAATGTTGCCTTAGCAACTAACTGAAATGTGTGTTCATTAGGTTTTCAGTTTTCAATAAGTTTGATAATGTTTTTTGCTGTTGATTTACTCATCCTCAGGTCATAATGAACCCTATTCGCAAGGAATTAGTATGATCTGGGGACCTCGTGTGATTTAGAAATTACCCCCCACATCTGAGTTTCGTGTGGCGCATTCGCACGGGATAAGCGAAGCCTGTGATTTTACTCAAACTTACTGACTTATCTCCCGGATCTGAATGTGCCATGCTGCTATACATGTCATACATCTAATCATTCTTTTTGTTTTCGCTCTTCTGATGGTTTTCAGCTTTCTCTTTTTGCAAATTGTGTTCGGTATCGGTGTATAGTGACAGGGGCGGTTCTTAACCATTTTTAAGTGGGCTTCAGCCCCCCTAAAACTATCTGAACGATTGGGCCAGTGCTGCTTCCTCAAAGTTTATCATTCCCATGTGTTTTAAGGCTTGTCAGTTTAAACGTTTAAGTGATTTTAAGCTATTCAAGCACAAGTCAGAGATCGTCTCCGTGCGTGCACACAAGGAAGCAGTCTCTCAGACAGCAAGCAAATACCAAATTGAGTTATTTTTCAGGTCTTGAGAAAATTGGCGCAACATTATCTCTGAATGGCTGTCTTGATGAGTATCGACGTAAAAACAGATGGTTACGTCTTAAGTGAACATAAATAGTTAAGAAAATATCGGATGTGCATTAACGGACCCGTACATTTTTTTTAGGCTATGTTAATAATATTAATCAAACAATAAAAGAAAAAGAGAGAATCACTCGCTGCTCTTAACTAAGTAACTGTAGCTTTAATGGATATTTGTGTATATTTACTTAATACAATTTAGGTAATTTGTTATATCTAATGGTCTGTCTGAGGGCTCAGCCCGCCTGTGGATGAAGTCCTAGAACCGCCCCTGTATAGCGATATGACCCAGCACCCAAAATACTATCAAACACTCCAACGCAGCTCCATTCTTCATGAAAGATGGATAAAAAGGCGCACAGAAAACAAAAACCTCGAAAAATGATATACGACCCGCCAAATGCAGGCCAAATCACAGAGATGCCGATTCGCACGGGACTAATATTATCACAGGACCTCGGTGTTTGGCGAAATATGGTAGGTCATTTGCGGGGGAATTTTTACTTTACAAATTACAGACATGGTCGATTCGCATGGGATTAAGATCACAGACAACCTCCGCAATTATTACAAATGACTGGAGGTCACCAGGTAATACTAATCCCGTGCGAATAGGGCTCAAGATGTAGGTGACTTTCTTCCTTCAGTAAAACTGTAAAGAATATTTTTAGATGAAACCGTGGTTCTTTTTGATTCATAAAATACAAATCAGCAGCTGCCCATTGTTGAGAATGAGGCTCTGGATTACAAGTAATCACGTTGTAAATAATGTTCAGTCTCTTTCAAAGACTGATTGTTTCACTTTTTTTTTTATGAATCACCAGTGACCATGGTTTCAGCTAAAAATCTTCTTTTCTGTTCTAATGAAGAAATAAAGTCACCTACATTAACAGCAAATTTTCATTTGTGGGTGAACTATCCCTTTAATTTGATTTAAATGAGATTTTATTTTTAAATCAAATTTTTATATTTTACCTCCGTTTTATTTCAATTTTATTTTTTAGTTTTTCCTTTTATTTTTAGTAGTTTTAACGAAAACTGGATCAGATATAAATCAGAACATCTGTAAATGAGCATTTTTTGTGATTAGTAAAAATCACATTTCACAAAAGATAAAGTGAAAACAGCATATTTTTAAAGTACTAAAAACTATAAAGCAGTGGACTATCCAAAACAAAAAGTCCAGTTTTGACTGAAACGGTGTTCATCTGCTAGTGTAATATGTATATGTAGATTAGACTGGTACCTTGAGTATGCTGAGAGCGTTGTGCTGACGGCCTGTGAACACACTGAGCTGAACTCTGAACAGCACTGACTCCAGCAGCTGAAACGACTGCACATCCGACCGGACGTCATGTGACGCCTCCAGCAGGTGTGAAACCAGACGCCCACACACATAATCCTTCCCCTCGAAACCGCTCTCAACGCTCATGCACTGAAAGACAGACACAGACCACAGCTCTTCAGCTGCTCAGACGCGTGGCGCTTAAACATGCCACTGTCTTTCCACTCACAGTCCACCAGACGTCATAGTGCGGCGCGTGCTCCACGGCCATCTCACACATCTCCTGAACCTCTTCTCTGCTGCCGCGCCGCGAGAACAGCGTCAGATAGTGACACCACACCTCAGTGTCCTCGCGGTTGTCCTCCAGTGCACGGGACAGCGTGTTCAGCGCCGCGTCCAGACACTCTGCCACAGAGCTGCACACACAGAAGAGAGCGATGCTGCTGCTTACTGAAGCCAAATACAGTGCTACGTGCTGTCTTTCTCTGTTGCTGAAAGGTTAATTAATTTGTTTGTCTTTTCTCGTCTAGTCTATTGTAACGCCCTTCTTATTGGAGTCTCAAAATCTTGTATTAACAAACTTCAACATTTACAAAATTCAGCAGCCAGAACTCTTTCAGGGGCCAGGGCTGTTGATCATATAACTCCGGTTTTGGAATTGTTGCATTGGCTCCTGGTTAGATTCCGTATTGATTTTAAAGTTCTCATGTTAACAGACAAGGCACTGCGTGGTCTGGCTCCTCAGTACTTGGCTGAGTTTTAATTCCCTATACACCTAGTGGTAATTTGCGATCTTCTCAGAGTGGTCTTTTAGTCGTTCTTAAAACATGGCTGCGTTCTGGGGGTGATCGGGCAGTTTCATATTTTGCCCCCAAATTGTGGATTCTCTCCCGGCTGACATCAGGGAAGCAACTTCGTTAGGCATTTTTAAATCTCGTCTTAAAACTTTTTATTTTTGTCTTGCTTTTAACTGATTGTTATTCTGTATTTTTGTGTATTACTTTGGATTGTTGTGTTTGCTTGTGTTGTAAAGCGCTTTGAGAAAATACTCTTTTAAAGGCGCTATACTAAATAAAATGTATTATTATTATTATTATTACTACACACACACACACCTGCTGCATTCAACGGAACTGCCACGGAAACAAAGAAACAATGACAGAAATATATCTGTGGCCTCACTTTTGCACAATAAGAATATGAACTAAATGTATTTTATCGTTGTCATTTTAAGGCAGGTCAGAACTAGAACTACAGCGAAATAAAAGAGAAGTCGCGATGAGGCTTTGAGTGATTATCAAATCACAGAAGCTGTATTTAATGAAGTAAATCTGTGCGCTCCAGAGTGAAGCACGGCACTGGTTTTCACATGCATGCAGCTCATGATCTGCTGTGTGATCTGTATCTGGATGCACATTGAAAAGACGAGTGGGAATGTTATCCGATCGGTGTGTCCTGGTCCAGAGGTAGTCGAGGATGCATTGTGATTGGATCTCAGTATACTGTAAGCGCAATCTAGCCAGGTCATCGTCATATAAATCCCCATCCACTCCTCTCTGATGACCGTCAGGAAATAATGCACGGATGCAGCTTTGACAAGAAATCAAACTTATGTGAGTTTGACAATAAACCTCAATATTTCCGACTGTTTATTTAGACGACTTACATGATAGCATTATGTGAACGAGGCGACTGTCAGTGCTGCTGGTGTAAATCACAGTCACGAGATCTACACGACGAGCTGCAATCTAGCTCAACTTATAGCCAGAGGAATAATCTGAATACACTTTAATGTTTATACTGTTTCAGCATGTTCATTATAAATAATCGCCCATCTTCTCGTAATATGACAACATTTTTCTTCATTTTATTATACAGATTAACGTTGAGAATTAAACTTTGTAGGTTTAGATTAAGTAGCCTATTTGTACATGAACAATCCTGTGCTGTATGGCCACTGCCACTGATTCAGGCTGAAGAGAAGGTTGTTTTATGCTACTAGACTATTTGCAGCTTCCACCTTGAACGTGTGTAAGATAATGCTTCGTTATTTATACATCATAACGTTAATATTACGACTTCTAGGCTATCTGCCCATGAGTGTGTCTGCGCGGCTCTGAATGAACTCCTTAAACTCCTCCTGAAGAAACGGCAACTAAACTCTAAAAATTCACAGCGTTTTATTATAATAGTGTTCTCATTATAATTATGTATATGACAGTCCCAGTCATAGTTATTAATATTCTGCATTGTTGTTTGTCCTGCTCGCGCTGCGCTGAGATAATCACCGTAGTACTACAATGAAGCGCTTTACTGCAGCGCAACTCAACCAAATGCATCTTATACGAGATAAATAATATATACACAATATATATAAACCAGCTGAAATGTTTTGAAATCCCTTGTACCCTACCTGATCGAAAAAATCCAGTCTTTCACTCTGCCTGTGTCAATTTGAGTCTTGCTAAAGATTTTTGATCTTTGATAAAGATCTTGATAAAGTCACGGATTATGGAAAGTGAAACTTAAATCTATAGGGGTGGTGTTTTATGTGAAATCAGACATGAGCACCCCCATATAGGCAAAATGGCATGATCATAACACCCCGCGAATATTCGACTGTGAGACTGGTAGTCGAATCAGGCTCCTCCTATCGAAGCATCGAATCATCAACGATTCGGGGTCACCCCTACTCCAGACCTGACTTAAATATTGTGCAGGAAACAGAAGTCTTATCAGTTATTCAGATACAGAAGCCACTTGCACACTGTGCCCAGACTGGCTCGACTGGATCACAAAGAGCACATGTTAATGTCAAGCGTAAATGCAGCCAGTGTCTCAGAGTGGATCACTTTGTCAGGAAATGCAGAGCCTGCGTTTGGGTGGAGCAGGAAGTGCGGTGAGCTGCTTATAATGTGCATTTGAGAACATAGCATGGCCACCAGCGCCAACCACTTTACCAGATATCTGAAGCATTTAAAACCGGCTGCCAGCAGAGATTTACTTTGCGGTTTACAAACCCAAAGAAAAGCTCAACCGTTTAACAATTACATTCCAACCAAAATATTAGTCTTGTAATTTTACAGATGCACTATAAACTTATTTTTAAGAGTTTTGTTTTACAGTTCAATAGTATTATTACAATATATTTCTTATTTTGTTTCATATTTGTATTAAATAATAATTTTTTAATTTTTATAACACATTAATGCAGTCCATTTGGAAAGATGTTTGTCTTTATGTTCCTGAAAGAGGTTTAAGTTGGTTCTTGTAAAAAGTATTTCTGTGTGTTTTCCCCAAATCGAAATAAAATAAAACACTGCCACAAATTTTATTTCCCGAAATCGTGCAGCCCTACTGAGAACAACAGTGTAAACTGGAAAGTGGACAAAGCTAATCAAAAAGACAAATACTATAAAAAATAAAATAAGTATAAATCTCAGTTTCGAAAAATTGACCCTTATGACTGGTTTTGTGGTCCAGGGTCACATATATAAAATTGAGTATTAATATAAGTATTATAGAGAGAGAGTATTAGTGAGTTTAATGCATTCGTCTCATTTTTTTAAAGGGATAATTCCACTGATCTGTGTGATATTGACTCACGTGTCTTTCTGGTTGAGGTATTTGAAGGCCAGTTTGATCCACAGCTGCACGTCGCTGGGACTCTCCAGCACACTGGTCTCCAGGTTACTGATGTCATCCGTCTCGCTGTCGAAGTATCTCTTATCGTCCTGCGTGACACACACATCAGCCGATGACCAGCGCTCCTGGACGCGCCCGTCTGTCACACAGGAGAGATATTAATACTACTGATCTACAGTATAAGGGGTGCTGTGATGTCATGATACGGTGTAAGGCGACTGACTGTGACAGACGGGGACAGTCACGTCCACAGGGTTGAGGTCTTCATCTTCCGGAACGTGCGTTTTCACTTTCTGAGCTTCCGGTCTCCATTTCCTCTGGGATTTATTCGTGGTGAAGGGAGGAACTGACAGAAAGGATGGACGGTCAGCTGCGGCGCAAACTTAACTCATCAAATACAGACGTGACACGAGCACTCACTGTGTCTCAATCTCTCGTTGACTTTGCTCACGAGCAGAACAGCCTTCTGGTCCGTCCCCATCCGGTCCTTATTGGGCCCAAACAGTTTCTTCATATATTTCTCTGTGAACAGGAGAGTCAAGGCTCATGATGTAGTGTTTTACTGATCATGCAGAGTCGTCCTGTGACGTGACGTTACCTGTGGCACTGCTGATGTCACCGGTGCTGCTGGTGTCCGCGCAGCCAATCAGAGGCAGGCTGTAGGACAGGACGTCCTGAAACAGCTGGCTCTCTGTGAGGCTGCAGTCCCTCATGTGCTGCCTGAAACACACAGATCGCTTCAGCCAAAGAGTAAACACACAGTAAAACCTCAAACAGCGGTGGTGTCCGCCCACACATACCATGTGCAATCGTCATCGTTACACGTGCCGGTCAGATCGAAGCGACAGAAGCGCTTCTTTGGCTCGATGGTGTTGCTGAAGGTGACGGAGCGGAGGGAAAGCTTCTCTTTGGTCCGGTAATACGGGCTGAACCTGAACATGTGCGGGATTGAACTGTGAGAACACAGCAAGCAGACTGAGAGCGCTAAAACACTATTAACACGTGTAATGCTCAAAGTATACTTCAGCTTTAACATGAACTTTAGCATATGCCTTTCAAAATATCCTGCAATGGATAGTGTGTGAGAACACTGGCACTCTAGACGATTTCATTCAAAAACCATAACCTCTAGAGAGAAGCATTGTGCTAAACATATGCACTATTACATATTTACTGTATTTTTAATTAAACGGTTGGCTTTATTACTTACTGTGTTTGAATAAATCTGTCATGAAAACAAGTTATTACAGCCACTGTTTAAGTGTTTGTATTTCAGCAAGGAATTAGAGTAGAAACAAAAGATGTCATAACCTTATGTACAATTCAATGTTTGTACAACTTGTTGATTGTTAAACAAACATCATTACGTGAAATGTATTTTGGGCTTCAGTTTTCAGCTAAATGAAACCTTCAATGTTGATTTCAGTAAACACTAAAAAAATAAAATAAATAGATATGTGACCCTGGACCACAAAACCAGTCATATGGGTCAATTTTATGAAACTGAATAAATAAGCTTTCCACTGATGTATGGTTTGTTAGGATAGGACAATATTTGGCTGAGATACAACTATTTGAAAATCTGGAATCTGAGGGTGCAAAAAAATCAAAATATTGAGAAAATCTCCTTTAAAGTTGTCCAAATGAAGTTCTTAGCAATGCATATTACTAATCAAAAATTAAGTTGATATATTTACAGTAGGATATTTACTAAATATCTTCATGGAACATGATCTTTACTTAATATCCTAATGATTTTTGGCATAAAAGAAAAATTTTGACTTTTGACCCATACAATGTATTGTTGGCTATTGCTACAAATATACCCCAGCGACTTAAGACGTGGTCCAGGGTCACATATATAGATAGACAGAATTTGGTGCATGACTAGTAAAAACTGAAGAATACTCTGGGCTTATACTGGGCCAGACCTGTATGATTTGAAGACTAGTAAAGGACTGTGATACGGTCCAAACGGTTCTGGTTTTGGCTCCGCTCGGCTCTGATGAGCTGCCATTGGATCAAAGTCCACCTGCACGACCTGCACGAGACACACAATGAAAGAGAAGGAAACACTTTGATGCTGATGCCACAGAGAGCACTATCTTGAGGAGCGTACCTTCCCGGGAGCCCAGCTGAGCGAGCGCATCTCCTCCTGCAGGAGCTCAGGGAGCCCGGCACACAGCTGGTACCGCTGCCGCAGATCCTCCACGTTCAGCCCCAGCAGCAGCTCTGGCAGACCGGCTGTGCTGCAGGACGCTTTGGCCTGTTTGAGGGGCATGGGTGAAGCAGCGGGCGTCTCCAGATGGCACAGCTTGGGTTTGGTGAAGGAGCCGGACTCTCGGAACGACCGCCGACGGTTACGGGGCGTCACTGAGGCGGGAGTCTGCTGCTGCTGCTCGTCCTCCTCGGCCTCCACGTCCTCGCTGGACAGTGCCAGCTTGTCCTGGGTCAGGTCATGAAGCGAGGGCTGCGGGAACGGGTAGAGTGTGCTGGGCATCTGTGGGGCGGCGGGCCGCGGCTCGGCTTGCCGTAACGCCTGGGCCTCTTTGAGCTTCTGAATCTTGAGGGCGTATTCTGACTCCAGCTGCTGCAGGCGCTTCTTCTGCGCGATGAGCTCTGCGTAATGCACATCGGAGCGATCCACACGCCGCACCTTCACCGGCTGCGAAGAGTAACACATCAGTTCCACCGTTAGAGAACGACACTCGCTCACTCACTCACTCATCTGTGCAGCTCTTACGGAGTAGATGGCGGCAGATGCATTGCGTTTGAGCACGGCAGGAGCTGCAGCGGCCTGCGCCTGAACCAGATCTCTCTCCAGCTTCACCGACTGCTGCTTCTTCACGCTCACACGGTGCTGGACTCTTTGAACCTGCAGGCCAACACACCAGAGGTCACCCAAGAGGCCAAATCCCTCATTGAACGCAAAAAAACAAAAAACAAATCCGTCCCGCTAGCACTGTGAATTTTAGTGAAGACCCATGATTCAGCCCAGCTCACCTGCTCCTGCAGCTTCTTCAGCAACACTCTGTTGGCACTCACAATCTTCTCTGACGCCAGCAGCTGCTCCTTGAGTCGGGTCACCTTCCCCTCGGCTGCTTTCAGAGACTCTTTCTTCTTCATTTCCTGCTGCAGGAGCTGCTTCAGCAGAGCCTCGTCTTTACACAGTTGCATTCTGCACAGGAAGCACACTCATCAGCATGAGTGCTTATCAAATATACTTTACATACATCAACCCAGTTTCATGAAGAGTTTAAGACCAAGTAAAGAAAACTTTAGGAATAAATTAAAGGGATGTCAATATTTTCTCTAAATGTAGAAGTCAAGGGAGCACAATGAGCTGTATTAGCAACACTTCAAAGTCTGAAAATACAACTCCTGATCTCCATTACTTTTTTTTTTTGTTAACAACTGTTTACTGAATTTTTTTCTGGTAATATAAAACAAAAAGAAACTGCAAATTTGAAACCCACCCCAACCCATCCCACCCCTGGTAGACTTCGAAAAATAAAATATAATGTAGACCTTAAAAAAAATAAAATAAATAATAATAATAGTGATAGCAAAAACATAATAATAACTGATCTCCATTACTTTTAAATTCATTTTAGGCAGGACTAGCTAGAATCTGAAAATAACTTCTGATCACGCTGCAAAAAAAGTGATGTACTTCCTTAATATCTTTGTCTTGTTTTCCAGTGCAAATGTCTGAAGATTCTTAAATCAAGCTACATTTACTGGAGAAACAAAATGACAAGTCTTGTTTTCTGTGAAATTGCTCAAAAAAGAGTCTATGATTAAAAACAACAAATATCCACCAATGTTTTTTTAAACCCGCAGGAACCCAGCCAGCTCATGTGTGGACGCTCACTTGTGCTGATTCAGCTTCTCTTGCAGATCTGCTGCTCTTCCCAGGATGTCCAGGTCAGAGTCCGAGCCCGCGGGAGAGGGGACGCCCCCCACAAACTCCAGCCGGCCCGATCTCTGCTTCTCCAGACTGCAGCACATCACAGGAGTGATTAGCAGCGCGGCACGACTTCAGTCATGTGATTCATTCCTCAAATATTTCTCCACATGCCAAACACTGAATCCGGTCACTGAGACTGAAAGTGAATACGTGAGCGAACACACCTGGCCATGTCGTCTCTGAACAGCCGATACTCCATCTTCTTGGCATCAGGAAGTGCTTCTGCACTCTTCACTGGGTTGTTCTCCTTCTCTGAAACTGAATGCTTCGGTTTGGCTGCCTGAGAGCAAAATAACACCAAAAACAGCTGAAAACGTGGCAAAAACTGATCACTCAAATGAGTTGGTTCTGTTTAGTGAATCAAGCACAGGCAGCACACAATGAACTGGAAGACTACACATTTTTTTACTTAACCTATTATTTCTGTCTTTGTTTTCAGGCATGTTAGAATAAATTGAGCTAAACAATGTGTAAAACCTGTATGCCGTCTTTAGAGTATATTCTTAAATCTTGTAGAGACCTGTAACATTATCTCTAGAAAACCGAGACTTTACACTTTCAAAGTGACTCAAAATGACGAAGCAAGTCAAACATTATATTTGAAAAACATTCATTTGATACTCATGATAAGACACTCATTATGTCACGGCAATTCTTATATTACATTATTGTTAAGTGTTGAATTTCCTGTCTACCTCCATGTATCTGCCCATTTTATCGCTCTAGGGAATTGAGTACAATGGCTGGAATATACTAGACAACATTTGAAGTGGATCAAAACCTTTCATCAAAGTTGTCCTAAAACCAAAATGCGCTGTTGTCTTAGGACAACTTTGATTAACTTTTTTGATCCACTTCAAATGTTGACTACTGTACACAACATGACTTCAGCACAGATTTTTGTCTGGTCAAGTTGACACTAGTTGCAGAAAGTCAGAGCCAGTCTGCAGATTTGAGTCGACAGATTCCATAGAAAATCATGTAGTGTATGATGGTCCTGGTCTCTTCCATCCAGTCGGAGAACATCGTACAGTGTATTGCAGCCTGACGTTCACACACGCACCTCTACTGTCCTCCGAGCTTCTTTAATCATGGACTCCAGTCCTCCAAACACACTCTGAGCGGGGCCGCAGCTCTCGTCGTCAGAGTCGCTGTCGTCAGACGCGTTCAGACGCACCACCACACTCTTGTGTCGCGGCAGCTGTAACAAACACAAGGAAAACGCACACATAAAAGCCTTAGTGTTGGCATGTGCGTAATGACTCCAGATTGTGAACCTGCGTCCCTCACCACAAACGGGGCTTTGGGGGCAGGCTGTGCCCGTATGAACTTGAGTGCCCGAGCGTGAGAGATGACAGTGTTGAGACTGACGGCCGTGAGGTTGTTCCTGGTGTTCGGCAGAGCCGTGGGTCTGAGAGCGGGAGAGGGTGGCCCACTGCTGCTGGACGCGTCCTACAGAGACAGAGCAGCTCGTCACACCTGACGCGTACGGTTCAGCAGAAACACCTTACTCTGATGTGCCTTACCTCTGCCTTTACAGCTCGTTTGCTGGCCAAGGACTTGAGCAGCTCTTCTCTCAGCAGCATCTCCTCTTCCTCCTCCTCGTCAGCAAACGGCGGCTTCGGCGGCTGCTCCGCTTCATCGGGGGGCGGCAGCGGAGGCAGAGGAGGAGGAGGAGTCAACCGCACAAGCTCCATCTGCTGCAGGTAGTGCTGCCCCACACCCTGACATATGAGCACAGGATGACATTTCCACTATAGGAATAAAGCACAAGCTTCTGTGTTTGAAAACAGCCGAAGATAGAGGTGACTTATGCAGCAAAGCACACATCTGTCAGTCAGAGTCAGACTGATTAAACTTCACTTTGTCTCATGGGCTGATTAAAACACCTCTGATTGGACAGTGCATTCATTCACTCAACAGATCGTCTGTCTGCGATTGAATATGATACTCGATACAAAAACCTTTTAGTTAACAGATGCAGCAAACACTTTTCACAGTTAATTTCAGCGGCTGCAAACATAAATTGGATTAAAGTACACTGATGCCCTATGATGTTTTTGATGCCCTCTGTACTAAACGTGATTCATTCTTAAAATAAAATAGCTCTCCTGATTCAGTATTTTTAAAGCAATATTATAGAGAGAGGACTTGTATTTTAACAGGAAGCAACGGTTTGGTCGTCAGTTTATGATTGTCACATATTAAGCACCTATCTTTTTCTGGTGATCTCAGCTGGCGTTTCATCTCCACACCATGTGACTGATGTCTGGGTTAAACGTACCTGTCTGAGAGGTGTGGATTCCAGAGGAAACACAGGCAGCGCGTCGTGTGTCGGAGACGTGGCTGCAAACAATCATCGACATTCACGGTTACAGTCAGAAAAGTGAAATTCAGCAGTGCTCCTGACGAGACACGTGTGCGTCACTCGTCTCCTGTACCTGGCGAGTTGGTTTCGCTGTCCGTATCCATAGCCACCTCATCGTAGTTATCGTACTGGTAGAGATTCCCCGATGTGTCCAGACTCTGCTTGACCAGTTTCCTCTGATCAGCATCTGCAGACTGTAAGAAAGCACGTCACATCATAATCAATCAGACTCTGCTGAGCTCCAGACCATCCTATCACTGGACTGGACTGTCTGACCTTGCTGCGGGAGCGATGTCTGGAGCCCACCAGCTTCATGAAGCGGTTGTACTGTTCGTCCTGATTGGACAGGTCTCTGATCTTCCGAATCTCGTCCTCTCTCTTCCTCCTCTCCTCCTCTTCCTCTTGCTTGCTCCTCTGCTCCTCCTGCTGCCTCTGCTGCTGCAGTTTCCAGGTGCGCAGCTGCTGTTTCCTCCAGGCCTGCTTGGCTGCAATCGACAGACACATGCAGTAGTGCGGAGTGACAGATGTGATCGGTGTGTCAGCGTGAGTGTGTGTCTTACTCAGGTGGGCCGGTTTCCTCGCTCTGCTCTTGTCCGGAGCAGGTTTGGCAGGTCTCGCTCTCTCCTGCAGCCTGCACACAGCGTTCCCTCTGTTTCCGCTCATCTTGTTCCTGTCGCACGGAGCCTCGCTCTTGTCCTGAGGCGCTTTAACAGCTTTGGTGATCTTCTCCTTGCTCTCCTTCAGCACCTGCTGCTCCTTCTGCTGCCACCTCCTGCTGGCCGACTGCAGAGCCAGGAGACGCAGCTGCAGCTCCGACAGGTCGTCCTCATCCTCCTTCTACAGGACGAGGGAAGACAAGCACGCAACCTCCTTCAACTGCACTTCTGACCACTCCTCAAGCTCGTTCACTCAACCCTCTTACTACAGGTTCCCTTCGACTTATGTGAAAAATGAGTTTATCTGCACCTATGAACCGACATTTGATGCTGAACTAGCTCATTTATGTTCATCTGCAACCAGATCAAGATCAGTTTGTTCATACTAAAGGTGTATTTTTTATAGAGGGCAGTATGGACAGCAGACGGGGAAAGGTGTGGTGGGGGGGGGGGATGATCTAAAGTTGATCATCATCCCATTTGACATCATTTCTAGCAGGGCTGTTCTGATGTCTTCAGTCTGAAGAAACAATCAATCATTTATTTTGGGACTGTGCTTATTGTAAAGTGTTCTAGGTTGACTTTTCCAATTTTGTTAAAAAATATTTATATCCAAACTTCTGTATAACCCCCAAAATTGTGTTTTTTGGTTACTCTTTGAATCTAGACACTTCTCAATAAATGTACATTTTTAAAGAAAACACCTTCCTTTTTTTGTTTTTAGGAAAGACTTAGTGTATGTAAACTCTTTAAGAAATTCCAATAATTCTATTGCATGTAAAAGCCCTTCATGGTTCATATACGCTAACATAATATGCTTTGGATTAGGCTAATGTATGTAACCCTCATTGTTTTTTGTCTGTATTCTGTCTTTGTATTATTTTCTTTTTCTGCATAATAATAATAATAATAAAAAAGGGCTGTTCTGATACCACTTTTTTTCCCCCCAGAACGTGCACAATGCCAATATCTGTACTTTCAGTGCATTTGTATTTAAGTTTTGGGTAGAGAAATTAAAAGAATATAATTCACATTAGTTAGATTTAAAACATGTTTAGTAAATAAGTGTTTCCTATTGTACTTCTCATGCTTAATTATGTCTACTAAAGTGTACTGTATGAGCATTATCATCATATGATCTTGTTATCATATTCTATCCAACTATTTAACTATAGACTTTTGTGTTTGGGGTCCTATTTTGTACCTTGTGGACGACTGGGGTCTCGTCACTCACTGCAGAGATGTTGAGGTCTGATTCGGACTCCTCATCCTTTACAGCTGATAGAAAATAAAAGATGGGACTGTCGTCATTATAATAATAATAAAGGAGTGTGTTCAAGAGCCTACTCGCTTTCATGCTGGTATCAAGAGCTGTGAAAGTTCACAACATGAAGTGTGAGATCTGTGGTACCGTCATCCTGACTGGCGTCCTTCTCCCCTCCGTCTCCGTCCTGTGCGCTTCTGCTGTTGAGAGCGTCTCGATCGCTGGGTGTCAGCAGCTTCTGTCTGAGCGGCCTGATGTTGAACGCCTGAAACACTTTCTTCTCCTCCTTCACAGCAGAGACGGGCTCCTCGGGCGGCGGGACGGGGTCAGCGGGAGGCTCGTCCTCCTCTTTCAGGGCCATCCGCTCCTCCTTCCGGATGCATTCGAGCTCCAGCTGGATCTGTTTGTACTTCAGCAGCAGATCCTCGAAGCTCTCGTCCATGGTCTCGGCTTTAGGGACGCTGGTCACCACCCTCCGCGTCTGACACCTGCTGCCTGCTTTCTCTGAGAACCAGTGGTTAAGAAGCACTCGGACTGCAGAACACTGCACACGAATCTATGCAAAGTTTTTAAACGGCTGCATTAATAGGATAGAAAATGAATATTCGGTCATCATTTACTCATCCTCATTTTGCTCCAAACCAACGCGTCTTTTTTTTCAGTGGAACACAAGAAAGATCATTTAATTTATTTTTCTCTATACACCGTTTCCCAACCAGTGTACTGCATTTTAAATGATAGAAGGCACTGCCGGTTTGGAGAAGACAACAAAATTAAATAAATAAATAAAGAGTTTCAAATCATTGCACTACAAATAATCCTCATCCGTCACAACATTTTCCTTCATGTTCTACTTCCAGACGTCAGCAGAATACCATAACATTAAAGCAATAAGCCCCGCGAAGCCGTGGTTTACAGTGAAATTTATAACAGCTAAGGGGCGTTGTTAGGTATGACGCGAAGCAGAGTTAGCTGTTATAAATTCTCTGTAAACCACGGCTTCAAGGGGCTTATTGCTTTTATAACACGGTTATTCCATATATGTAGTTAGGTTTCACAGAATAAAACAGAGCAAATAAAGTGTAATGATATTAATAAAAACAGTATTCTTCCACCAAACAATGTAGCTCCTCAGAATCAGTTGTGGTTGCAACAAAATGGTTGCCGAGTAACACACAGAAGTAAACAAAAGGTGTATGTTTGTAGAGTAATTTACAACAGCTTCGAACGCGGCTCAACCAATCAGAATCAAGGACCGGAACTCTCAGTTTTATAATTGGTATTTTAATGTGACATAGAAATAAGAAATAATAAGAAAATCAGGAGAGCTGTTTAGTCACTGCATTTTTCCTTTGCATTATTTTCTCTTTTCCTTTGTCTTCTATATATATCTACTACCACGCATTTGTGGTCTGCTGTCTCGATTTAATATGCAATAAATCCCATTAATAATTCACTGAATGCACTATGAATCTCTCATCTTTCTCCTCAAATCCTCACGCCTCTTTCCAGGTTTGTTTTCACACGGATTCTTTGAAATGTAATTTTCTCCTCTTTTCACTTCTAATCCCTAGCAGTCGTGTTCACTGTAATGTTTCTAAAGCAGGGAAAACTGACTGAAAAAAAATACAAATAACTCACAACGATGAGCTCATTAACGTACACACGGCGGTTAACAGGACAGAGCATATTTACATATCAAAGTCTTCAAAGGGAGAACGCGGCTCAACCAATCAGAATCAAGGACCGGAACTCTCAGTTTTATAATTGGTATTTTAATGTGACATAGAAATAAGAAATAATAAGAAAATCAGGAGAGCTGTTTAGTCACTGCATTTTTCCTTTGCATTATTTTCTCTTTTCCTTTGTCTTCTGCCTTAATAAAAAAAAAAATAAAAAATAAACACACGGCGGTTAACAGGACAGAGCATATTTACATATCAAAGTCTTCAAAGTACAGTAGCACAATCAACTGGATGATTGAACACATCGGGAAGAATGGTGAGAAAAACCAAGTCATGACACTAGTTTTTGTGTGTGTAAGCACACTGCAGCAGTATAAGTGAACTCCAGTAAATATAAAAATAAATGATGTACGTATAAACTATTAAAGTAAATACAGTAGTCAAATGCATTCATCTTCGTATCACGACAGCGCATTATTGTGGTACCAGAGATATCAGACTGTAATATACCATGGTATTCTCACACGGTTTTACCGCGGTTCTGGGTTTTTACTATAGTACTCGTGCAGGTGAGTGTGTCGCGGCTCGGGTAAGTTAAGGATACGTTTCCTGCTCGGCGAGTCGGTTCTGCAGCCGTGATTCTCCGCGAATCGCTCCGTCCAGTCTCGCGTCCAGTCTGACGCTCTGTGTGCGCGATATCTGAAGCGGCCCAGCGCGCCGTGACTGCGCTCCCAGAAGCCGGAGCGCGGCGCTGAGTCGAACGCCTGCCGGAGGCCGGAGGGGAAGGGCGGATGAACAGCTCTCAGCGGCACCGGGGCGCTGTTGTTGAGCATGGGTCCCGGTAAACGCGCTCTCTTGTTCATCATGGGTCGACTGGGGCGGGCGCGTCGCGGAGGCCGCGCGTTCTGCCGCCGCCTCTGCGGCTCGTCGTCGAAGATTTCCCCGTCTTCCAGCTCACCCTCCTCTTTAGGAGACGGACAGCCCGAACTCACCTCCATTACTGACATTTACTGATAACTGGATGCGCTTACTTACAGCTCATGCTGATAATTAGGATTCAATAGCTCGCATCGCTCAAAGAAGCGTCAAACGCTCGACTAAGCAGCTTTCAGTGGAACATCACCACTCTGAGTATCGCGAGATTTCACGCACTTCCCGTCTCAAACCCCTAGATATGATAGGGAAGTTATTTTTGAGGTTTGTTGGGTCAAAGGACAGTACAGCCAGAGTGCACAAAACATCTGTTATGAATCAAACATTACATTCGTTCATTTTCATTATTGCAATGCAAATGAAAATCTTTCCAAAATAAGAGACTTGTACAAACATATAACAGGATCAGTGTTGTTATTAACTAAAAACCTCAACTAGTTTTCGTTATATGAAATAAAATATAAATATTATATGGAAAAAAACAACAACGTAAACTTAAAAAACAAAAACAAATGTTGACTTGACAACTACGTTAAACAAAGCAAGCCTAAATCCAAGTACTCAAATTATTAAAAATCAAAGCCAAATAGAAACATGAAAACTATAAATAAAATATATTAAAAAAATTTAAATAGGCCTGATAAATTAAAATGAAAATATAAAAAAAACGAAATAATAAAAAATATTAATGAATACTAGAACCATATATAAATCATACAAAAATAGCGGTGTTTTAGATGAATAGAGATGGAAAAATCATCCAACTGTATCTGCAGTTCTCTTGGCGGTCACCAGCTGTGCTGTGGCGCTGCTCTCGCGCAGTGACGTCACATCCGCTACTCCTGTTGACACCAGAGCGCTTCCGGTCGTGTAATGCACCGTCGTGTTTTCATGAAATATTTGATCATATCGTATTTGTGCATCTGTAAGTGATATTAATCGAAGAAGACTCTAAATAAGTCCCGCGTGCGGTGAGGCGCTGATGAGTTGACTGACGTGTGTAAATCCTAATCAGATCAGATATTGATGAAGTAGCCTATTGATCAGAGAAGATGATGAAGAGAGCGGCGCGGCACGCGCGGAGGGGCAGAGCGAGCAAACGCGCGAAGACGGACGAACTCGCGCCGGACACCGGTGAGGAGATGGTGCCATCACGCACTCGAAGCTGTAACTTCACAGTGCGCTGCTTTTCTCTCTGACTGCTGTCTGCGGCTCTCTGTGATGACTGCAGGAGAATGTGCTGCTGCTCCGGGGTTTGATTCCCATGCGACACAGTGACCGCTTGAGTGGAGAGTAGCTGGTTTTGGATAAATGTGTGTGAAATGTGCAGCACAGGTAGATTTATTTAACACAGCTTGTCTCCTGGTCCTCTGAGTGAACAGCAAACCTTTGACTGAAGTGTCATTCTGTTTAATTCAGCATGAAGTTACACAAAGCGTCGTCTTAAATATCGACGAAATTCTTAACGATCAATTATCGATCGTCGATTAATCATGCCCATCCCTATCTTAAATACATTTAGTCAAATGAGTGGGAGAAGCAGCTTCGTCCCATGTGTGTGTGTTTTTTTACTCAGCTCTACTGAGTAGTCTTTCATCAGATTTATTGTAGTTCCGAATGAATCTGAACAGTTAGTCCTTTCAGCTCCAATCCCAATCACACACACCTGAACTAACATTAGGCCTGTCGAGATAATTAAATTACCGTCTAATCGCGATTATTTTATCAAACCGCTGTTGTTTCAGACAACCGCGATTATTGTGCTTTTTATAGGGCACAAGGGGGAGTCATACACCGAAAGAAACAGAAGAGCACCAGTTTGCTTTTCATGCACTGTATAGCCTATATCAGTGGTTCTCAAACCTCTCCATGAAGTACCCCCAGCACTGCACGTCTCCACTAATGAGCTGATGAGTTGAATCAGGTGTGATAGATGGAGACATACAAAATGTGCAGGGCTGGGGGTACTTCATGGAGAGGTTTGAGAGCCACTGGCCTATATCATCTGAAGCCATTCCATATCTTAATGTGAGGGACAGAATTATATTTACATTGTTACATTTAAGTTTACGTAGACTACACCACTGCCCTCAGGTTGTTCCAGACCTGCATGGGTTTGTTTCTTCTGTTGAACTCAGAAGAAGATATTTTGAAGAATGTTGGTAACCAAGCAGTTTCTGGTCCCCACTGACTTCCATAGCATTTTGTTAAAGGGGTCATATGATGCAATTTCAAGTTTTCTGAACATTAAAGCATGTCAACATATTCTGTTACACAAAATAATGATCTTTAAAAAAGCGTCATATGACCCCTTTAAGGGATGCATGATATTGGATTTTGGCCGATATCCGATATTTTTCAAATCATTTTGGCCGATAACTGATTTCTATAAATTTATTTCTTGTGTCTGTGAACCGGTTCATTGTCGTGATGCGCACCATTCACGGAGACTGCATGAGGAAAGCACATCCAAAAATGACGGAGTAGCCTATTCTAAGTTCTTTCCACAGGAAAAAATAAATGCGTGAGATTGCGCGGGCGCCTCCATATCATATAGTAAGCGCGATAATACGCCCACAAATACTTGAAATGCACATATATAGCGATTTTATAATTCATATAAAAAGAATAATAATAATACCCGTTTTGGTCATATTTACTATTAATTGCCCAGCTCCCCATCAATGATCTAGTGCAGAGATATATAGTTCTAAACTGAATGTGCAAGAGAAGCATTAGCCTACTTCTAATTTGGCCAAAGAAAACTTGTTAAAATCAAAAATTTTCTATATTAATTTGTGCATTCTTCAATTGTTTATTAAAAGTGCAAAAAGTCATAAACAAAAATCTAAAAAAAATCAATATTTTACTTTTTCGGGCAGCATTTTGTGTACGGTTCTAATTTCAAATTTGGTTTTCAGGATGGCATTTAAAAATACAACAACCCTTCTTTTTTAATGTTTTTCCTCATGGTTAAAAAAGGAAAAACGAATGGACGGAAGAGTATAGGCTACACGGACCTGGAAACAGTAGGCTATTGCATGTTTTATTTGTGCGCATAAACGAAAATAGGCCTATGTATATCAAGTCTTTATTTTTTATTTATTTTTATTTTCGTTTGTTTTGTAAATACATAATGAAATAGGCCTAGTTTAGGGCTGTGCAATATATCGAAATATCGTAAATGTACATATCGCAATATGCATATCGCTACGGCTTGCAATATTTGGGGCCATGAACAAAAGACAGAGAGAAAATCACTCACTGCTCTTACCTAAATAACTTTTGTAGCTTAAATAAGAATCAGTGCATATTGAATTCATAGAGTAAATACTAAGCAGTGTTGTATTTTTCCTCATGTTAAAATGATTACACTAATGTTAAAATGACATTTTTATGTAATGCTTGAGTAAAACACTACCGTTCACTTTCAGAAGTTGTTGTAGGGGTGCTTTCTTATTAGAATCAGAATCAGAATGAGCTTTATTCACCACTTAAGTGTGCGCAAACACACAGAATTTGTTGTGGTTTTACAGGAACTCTTGGTACATGCATACATACAAATAACCATATATATATGACACAAGATAGTTATAGAAGTTCACAGAACTGTAAATCTGTTTCATCTGAGCATGTGGCACTTTAAGCATTATCGTATCGCATATCGAATATCGCATTATTTAATGAGTTATCGCATATCGCATTTTTCTTTAATATCGCACAGCCCTAGCCTAGTTTTTGTTTTTTGTTTTCGTTTAATTGGCCTAATTGAATGAATATGGCTACTAACAATTAAGTGACTGCGACTATTTAATGTGATTTGGTTTGCCGTTTGAATTTTACCTTATTACTTCAACTGTATTGTTACGTCAACTGGTGACGTCATCGCATATAATTAAATGTCTAATATTTTAAAAACCGAAGCAGCCCAAACCTGCACAAACGAAGCACAAACAAACGAGACTATTTGGGGTATGTATGTATGTTGGGGGGCTGAGTGACCTCAGAATGACCTATAAATATTATTTTAATATCTAAAAAACCAAAGCAGCACAAACGAAAATTTTTACAGCACAAACAATTGAGACTCTTTTGCAGACATTTTGCGTTGGGTGGGAGGCCAACTTCACGGAGGTGAACTTGCAGGGCTCTCACAGTGTGGTGTCACGCTGTCAATACTCGAATTATTTTAGTATTAAATTCTTTCTTAGTAAGTTTTTGAAATTCTGTTAGTTTTAATAACACATACTAATATAACATATACTGTTGTCATAAAAGTAGTTAGTTGTGTTATGTGTAGCATTTAAATTAAAAACCTAAATTTAACCTCCAGCAAGAAATATTTTATTAAAAATTAAGTTGAAGTTACTGCTCACTGTGTTTACTATGTTTTGAAAATGGCTTCTATGAGTAAAAGCGCTCCACACTTTCCTGTAATTGAATTGGCTCATGACAGGATGGTTGATCGCCCTCGCAGCCGCCCAGTGGTTAAATGTTGACCTTTGACCTCCCTCTGCCCTCACAGGCCGGATGAGCACTGGCTTCTGTCGACTCTGTCATGGGAAGTTTTCCACGCGGCGGCTGCGGCAGGCGTTTGCGCAGCTGCAGGGCGAGTCCTGCGCCGTGTACCCGCTCTTCTGCACAGACTTCCAGCAGCTCTTAGGAATTCCCATGAACAGAGACCCCAGTCTGTCCCAGTTCATTTGCAACAACTGCCACGCTCAGTTCTACAAGTGCCACAGCATCCTGCTGGACTTCAGGAACAGAGTCAACCTGACGCCCGTCTCCAGAGACAGGTTAGCGGCGCGCCACATCCTCATGACGCCGTCATATCTCACCCCAAAATCCACAGAGGTTATTTTCCACAACAGTTCTGTCCTGTAATATACGAGTCAGTCATTGTAATGGAGTGCAGAATTTACATTTAAAGCCACCATCCAGCAGAGTTGAGCTCCAATCCAGTATAAACTCCATGATGTAAACAATAATGCAGAATTTTCTTTTGATTATGGTGTGAAATATGAGCCGTACATGTTCATGTCATTCATCCAGCCATCACCCGTGAGACCATAGTTAAACAATCATGTTGTCTCCCACAGGAACAGCACTGAATGCTCGTCGTCACAGGAAGACATCACTTTATTCCGTAAGTACATGTTCGTAGGCGTGTGTTAGTTTTGGCTGTGTGTTCTTGTCTTATTTGTCTGGTCTTTGG